AGTCACACCACCTGCATGGTCACAGCGGTAGCTCATAACGTGCCTTTCGCCTGGCTGGCTTTAACTGTTGAATCTGGACGTGCTTCTGGGAAAGGTTCAGAGAAAAATTCGCAAATCCAATCCTCTTTACTAGTGGCATAGAGGATTGGATTCACGAGCTGAGTTGGATTGACCTCCTTTTCTACCTGGCTGGATTTAACTGCTGAATCTGGACGTGCTTCTGGGAAAGGTTCAGAAAAAAAATTCGCAAATCCAATCCTCTTTGTTAGTGGCATAGAGGATTGGATAGAGGATTGGATTTAAGAGCTGAATTGGATTGACGTCCTTTTCTGCATCTCGGCTTAAAAACCATCCAGGTTCAGGCTTCCGGAGCTGAATCCAACCCTCTTTGCTAGTGGAACCTCACCCCAGGACTTATGAAGGGGCATACCACCGCACGAGCCTCCCAGAGCATAGAGGGGCCTTCTGGCCTTGCCCTCCATATATACGGTCACGCAGAGTTGTCGTCCACACGTGAATCTGGACTGACAGGCTGTCTAGGAGCATAGAAGAGTACGGACATCACATGCTTACACGCTTATCAGCCTCGAGAGACGAGAGATGAACCTCGAGAAGTGTTGGGGAAAAAAAAAAAAAAAAAAAAAACGAAAAAAAAAAGAGGTGAAAAAAAAACAAAAACAAAAATGAAAGAAGCAACAACGGAAAGGCAAAAATTATGGTATTACGGGGAACCCCGTAGCAGCCACATTCGTCCTGCTCAAGCCTCCAACGAGGGAACATGCGGGAGCTGCACCCACCAGCACAGGTGCGATACCTCCTGCTACAGCAGGTGGGAGATACTGGCCAGGGGTCAGCCGGTAGCGTCAGGACCGAGCTTCTTCTTCGATGGGCCAGTCACTATGCCTCCTCCCCTGCGGTCCCCTCCCCCTATATGAGCATCAGCAGTCTCTGCTCAATGCTACTCGGGGCGGACCACCAACGGCATATCTTTAGGTGGCGGCCGCCAAGCTTGCCCAGGAAGGTGCATGAGGCCAAATTATGGGGATTGAACCCAAGACCTCCTGAATGCCACTTGCGTGCCTTACCGACTGAGCTAGGCCGCTGGATTCAACCTCGAGAAGTTTTGAAAAAGGAAAAGAAAAATGAAAAAGAAAAAAAAAGGAAACGAAAACCAAACCTAAAAAAAAATAGAAACGAAACAGCAGAATAAGAAACAAAAAATGGAAAACCAGAACGAAAAAAACAAAGATGGAAACTTTACATCATGCGCTTGACGAGGGGGAGGAAAAAGAAGAAAAAAAAAAAATCTCTCGTTTCCATTTGGTTGAATCTGCTCACAGAAGAGCGAAAAAAAGGGAGCTTCGCCATCCCCCCATTTTCTGTCTTTTCTAAGGAGAGTCGTTCTTTTTGTGACATTGGTTGCAGTTTTTTTTTTTTTGAATTTTCTACTTCTTTTCCAAACCTTCGTTTTTTTTTTATTTTTTTTATTTTTAATTTTATTTATTTATTTATTGATTTATTTTCAAACCTTCGTGAGGTTGATCTCTCGTCACCGATAAGCTTGTAATTTGTATGTTTTTTTTTTTTTTTTTTTTTTT